AGCTTTGACAGTAGCATGAGGAGGTTGTTTAATAGACAAATGTCAGATATGACTAGGGTATCATTTATAGTACTAAACATGAAGGCCTCCCGTTCGTCTACTGCTCCGATCTTCGCAATCGTGTGAGGATGTCAGTTGCAAAGACTTCATGTGGCTACACAAGCTAAGCTCATAGGCTGCAAGATTCTTCAATAATGGTAGCTCGTCGTTTCTGACAGCCCGACGCTTTTGCCTGCATAAGCTCGTGTTATCAAAAGTCAAACAGCAAAGTTCTTTCAGTCCTCAGATTTTGAAACTTTCTTCTCCGCCTTCTTGTCCGTCTTCTTCCGCTTCTTTGGTGCTTCCTCACCATCCCCCTTCTTCTTGGCTTTCTTGCCTGATTCCGGGGATTCCTTTGCTGAATTGCTGCCAGTTTTCTCCACTTTCTGCTTTTTCATTTCACCTGGCACTGAAACCGCCTCCTTTGAAGTGCCATCTGACTTGCCCCTTTCATCTTCACGCTTCGTCTTCTTCTTAGTCTTTTGCTGTGTTGCGTTACCGCCCTCACGCTTCCGCTTTTCCGGCTTTTTGAATTCTGGTGATTTGGGCTGGCGATCTCTGACCTGGGTCTGCATCGACTGGGAACTGTCTGTGCGATTTGGCTGCGCCTCGCCTTCCTCGACTTCTGAATCAGAAGATCCTATGGTGCAAGATGTACCGGCGACGGCCGAAGGCATGTAGCCCATCTTCAATCCTTTTCTTTGTTTTGGGGGAGGCTTAGACCGCGGAAGACGCATACAAGAGGCTGCACCAGTGCCTTTGAGTTCCATCTTCGGTGTGAATGAAGTATCTGCAACTTCGAGGAGCTGATGAATATGTACAGTCTCTGCCATACTGCTCTGGACTAGCCTCATACGTAAATAAACTCTCATATAAAGAAGGATCAAGCTTGGCTTACCTGCTTTCAGACTATCGCCTCGTTCACTAGGCACGAGAAGTCTCACGTCTTTAAATTCGGGCTCATTGCTAAGTCTTACCCCGTAGGATGTTCCTTTATGGTTCAGGACAGGCTGTCCGTTCATGGCTTTGTCAAAGGCAATCTCATGAATAGCACTCATTGGCACCTTCGCAGGCGCCGTGATATGCCATAATTGCTTTCCCTGCAGGTTGGAAGGGCTTAGGGGCCTCAGCGAAGGAGTAGATGATATCTTTGGTGGCTTTACAGGTTCAAATCCCTTTGGAGGCTGGAATCTTGGGGCTCGATTAGACGTGCTCTCCTGATCCTGATGTGGTACTTTTCTCCTAATAAGAAACTTGAGTATTTGTAAACAAAAAGATTGGTAGATATTGGTGAAACGAACTTGACGCCTTGCTGCGACTTGTTGCGATCATCATTCTGGCTTCCAGCTTCCTTCTGATGGTTACTTTGCCGGGACTGCTGATCTGCTGCGGGTTGACTTGGCACGATCTGGTCATCTTCTCCTTTGGCGGAGCTACTCCCTTCACTATCGTCCTTTGCCGAAGGAGGAGTAGGGTCGGTGACTTCATTCTTCTGGGTTTTCTGGCTTTGAGCCCCTTCGTCTCCGGCATTTTCGTGGGGGTTTGCATTGGCAGCCTCGGAGTTATCGTCACTGTCGGAAATTATCTCTTTGCTTAACGGCTCCGTCTTTTGTGCTGTTTCCGACGACTCGTAAAGCTTTCTGCGAGCCTTCTTAGGCTTTGCCTTAGCTGAGGGGCTAACATCCTCATTGGAGTCTTTTGCCATATTGCCGAAGTCTAGATATTCGTTTTTGAGACCTCTTCATGTTCCTGATCCTGGAAATTGCGTCAGACGCGGCGAGATTCGGTACTAAAAAAAAGTTCCGGGCGGTGGCAGAAAAACTACATCGTACTTTACCTAAACTTTTACCACCAAAGCTCCCATCTTTGCGGAGTACCTCTACAATCGTCCCATGGCCCGATCTCGAGCACATTACCACTTGAGGGAGATTGATTTGCGGAGATGGTACCGAAGAGGGAGGCGGAGGAGCCTTTGAATCGAAGCCATGTTCGTATTACACCTCGGCCTATCCAAGACGGGAAATTTACACCGCATCTATCTAGAGCGCATTTGCCGTTGCACGCTCGAAGAGAGAGCGGCTCACTAGCATCCCGGTCGAGACCTTGAGTCCAAAGCCCTTAACTGCTTCTTACGACGAAAATGAAGACTTTCAGGCTTTCAATGTTCCTCGCCATGGAGAGCCTGATCGCAATACCCCAAGTGAATCTGAGATAGAGGTAGAAGCCGGGGCACAGCCCACTACACCTTTATCTCTATCTACTTGGCACCCGGACCTTCGCAATATTGTCAATTCTGGTGATGATGCTGAGCTGTCCATGTGCAAAGGGGACACAATCGCGATACTAGGCCAATATGGCTTACAAGTGAAATTAGGTACAGTTGAAGTGTATGGTGCCGTTCTGAAACAAAGCGCGAGCACCTATGTTGTCTCTGCTCCAACGACACATGCACTTCCCTGTATCTTGTGCTCTAGTAGCATGGCCAGGATTTTGGTGAAATCTCGTCCACAACAGCTACGCAAGCTGGGGACATTATCACCATTATTTCATCGTATATGGAACCATGGCGGGTTCAAAACGGAAACAGCGGAAATAGGTGGTCCCTATAGTAGTTTCTGCTTTGTACGTTACCGGCGTTTTACCTTTTCTCAACTGGAGCTTACCTTCCGCAGATACCGTCTACGACCAGTGATCCGTTGAAAAGGAGCATATTCCCATTACTTAGCAATCAGCCGCGAGACGAGGCTATTGACAAACTATGCAGCATGGGAAATGGGCGCGTGCCTACCATACTGATTTGTGGTTCTCAAGCGACTGGAAAATCAACCCTTGGTCGTCTAGTATCAAATCGTCTGGTCACTACGGAAATGAACTTCTCCAGACTCACCCCACACAGAACCACGTTCTTACTTGATTTAGATCCCGGCCAAGCAGAATTTTCACCTCCAGGTCAAATATCTCTTACCCAAATTCGAAGACCTTTGCTGGGCCCATCTTTCACGCATCCTTGTACTGGTACAAATTCGTCAGCACGTCTGATACGTGCGCATGCTTTAGCCGCCTTGTCGCCGAAGGTGAATCCTGTACACTTCCTAGACGCTGCCAGTCAACTCATGCACGAATATCATTGCGCTCTTGGACAGTATCCTGGCACGCCGCTGGTAATTAATTGTCCCGGTTGGATCACAGGTTCCGGTCTGGAGATTCTCATGCAATTCATCCGGAAATGGTCGCCCTCAGATATTGTCTACCTGTCCAATGGCAATCGTGACGACTCTCAGATCCGAGCTGCATTGGAACAAGCAGCCGGTAACAGTTTAACTCATTTTCTGCGAGAGCCGATATACAAATCTCCTTCGAAGACTTCGGCGCAATTACGAGCGATGCAGACCATGTCCTACTTCCACAGCGATGGCATAGATGATACGGGTAACATCGAATGGAACGCGGTGCCTATCACGTCAACGAAGCCGTGGATGGTCTCCTATGGCGAAGAAGCTCCCGGTATTCGTGGTATCATGTTATATGGCGAGACTGTACCACCCGAATGTCTGAAGGTGATACTCGAAGGCTGCCTGGTCTCAATCGTGTCAGTAGAGGACGAGTCCGTTTTTTCGAGTCTCCGATCCGTCCGTACTGGAGAGGCTGGTCTCGAGCCTGATGTGATCAATGATGACGCGCGATTCAATGTAGGTTCGAACAACCATCTAGCCTATCGGAGCTCGAAATCTTCAGAAGATTCGCCATGGCCTCGGGTCAAACGTACACCTGATGAGGGTTTACCGTATATTTTGACCAGCCACGAGGGCGAGAACATGCCGCTTGATCCATGGAAGTCTCAGACTCTTGGTCAGGCAATAGTCCAGGCTATCGACGTTCCTAATCAGACACTACACCTGATCACCCCTCTTTCTGAAGTCACGATTCAGAACTTGCAGAGTAGCTTCGAGGCTGGAAAGTCGAGCATTGTGCTTGTGCGCGGACGATGGGATACTCCAGCCTGGGCCTATACAGAAGAACTGTGGCGTGCCAACTACCGCAGCTCAAGGGACCTTAACAAGTCTGTCTCTACAGATCGAGATGGGTCGGATGAGGGCGGATCTCCAGAGCTGGACGATTATGCCATAGCGAATGACGCAGGTGAGCAATGGGACGACCTGGAGATACCTTTTGTAGATTTTGAAGCGTCCGGGAACCAGTAGTAGCAGAAGGGGTAGGAGGGGGGAGGGCGAGGCATCAAGCGCAAAACCTGGCGCAGGGACAGATGCATCAACATGATAAGTGAAATTAACACCGGAGAATCAAGATCTTCAGGGAACTCCGAAGTCGTAGGAACTCGAGCTGGAGCGAGCGGGCTCGAAATCATCTAAGATACAGTACATTTGATGGTACAAGAAGATCTCAAAATCTTCCGTCCTGGTCTCATGCATTCGCGATCCAACAGGCTTTCTAATAAGCAATGTCCAAGCAGTCCTCCATCTGGTTGGCAGCATTCACAGTTGTTTTCGACAGAAATGCTGGAGCGTACATGTTGCAGATTGCAGCCATTTGCTAGAGAAGTAGCAAGTCATGCGCCTACGGACTCGGCATGACAATCAACGGTCGGCTTCTGAATGCACACGAGGTTTATCGACAACCTGCACGAAGAGTAGGCCCATCATAGACTGTGACTGCTTGACCAGGTAGGCAGTGGTGCAGGTCAAGGACTGACGACGCCGATGAAGGAGACAAGAATCGTCCTGGGAACACAATATAGAGCGGAGACACTAGGAAGCCTGGACAGTAGAATATTGAAGGGGAGATATCTACACTTAGTTTCCAATGCTAGTTTTATCACTAGAACAAGATAATCACAGTAAGATCTTGGATAGCTGAGTGTGTGTATTCCGTGAAACAACATCACAAGAAGAGATGAAAGGAGCAAATATATATTGATACAATCAGATATGAAGGACTCATTAGGCAGCGTGACCGAGTGGTTAAGGTGACAGACTTGAATTTCTCATTCTATGATATCTGTTGTGTTCGCACGCGTCGGTTCAAATCCGGCCGCTGTCGACGTTAATCGTTTTCTATTTTTTTTATTTTATTTTTGACCTGATTGAATTTACGTATTTCGACGCTAAGATGGCGTAATGTGGGAGATTGTATAACATAGGGTCTTTGGGAACGAGTTAGCTATTGAGAATTGGGCGGTTGAAGCTGGCCGGTATTATGAACTCCACATTTTCAGGGGCCAGTGAACTGAAATCGAACAACTTACCGTTCGACAAATATACACAAATATACGGCCAAATTTAAAAAAGATCTATATACCAATAAGTGGGATTCTATAGCAGACATAAAGATCGGCAGGATCATAAGGAAATTCTGGGTACCCTTGAACTCTCCAATATCCTTTAGCCTTGCAGTAATGGATACCAGGCCTTCAAGAACAAGGTAAGAAATGCTCCACCATCTTTTTTCGAATTCTGAATATTGGTTGTCATAAGGGTGCAATGATGGGTGTATTTTCGAGGCTACAACACAATGCAATGTAGGAGACACTAGATAAATACGGGGCTATTCACTATCGTATGCATTGTATTTCTTCCTTTAGATGGTTGGGTCAGTCGATGTGCGTATGGCTTTCCCAAACTTTTAATCTCCGGGTCTTTTGGAAACATGATATCAGTATATAATGGAAGAGGCACTAACCCAACACTCATCGTCGACCAATCAGAAGATCAGCGTCTTCATCCAAAGCTGAGCTCTATGCACCGACTTAAAACAGATGTATAGTGATTAAAAAGAAGACGAAAAAGAGGGAATGATATGAAAACGGAATAGTGGAAGGGATGGTAAATTGTGTCGTCTATCCTTTTGTTCCCAACATAGTAGAAGTTTTGTGCTTACATTCTTATGGGAACAAGAAAGCTTGCTAAGAAAAGACAGGGGGAAAAAAGTAAAAAGAAAAAAAGCAAGCGGGGGGCACTCTTCTTCGCACCTCCGAATTAGTAGGAAACTGATATGTCCACATATCGTGGATGGCTAGAATTATTAAAAAAAAACCATTTCTGAACTTGAATTAGTTCTTTAGGTGATGGCCTCGGACATAGCTTTCGAGAAGATAGAGTACTTGTCCTGCCCAGACGTCGAGCGTTGAGGGATACTCGTAAATACAACATTCAGGTCAAGATTAACCTTGCCTTAAAAACGTTGCTAAGCAACAAAGATCCCGTGTTAGTTGATTTAGCACGAGAACCGCGTAAGTCATCTTGTATTTACGCCAATTGATACCACTCTATTGATACTGACGTAGGGATCCGTGTTGCCTTCAAATGTGATCCCAATGCAGTGAGAGAAACAAAGTTCTGATCAGTCATCCTCAATAATGAGAACCTCCATTTCCTTGGCCAATCCATCGAATTTCGTCTCTGTACTCTTATCGATTTTTCCATCTCCATCAGTGCGAGCAGCCTTCGATTCTCTGTACATCCTCCCGATGATCTCCATGATCTCGCCGTGTTTAATGGCGGGGTTCTTTTGCTTCACGTCTTTGAACACTTTTTTGACAAACTCCTGATATTCGCTTGGACCCTTCGTACCCCTCGGAACAGGCTTGATCTGAATTAGCTTCGCTCTACAGGATCCGCACGCGTGACGCGAGATATCGATAGATTTCGAATGCCGCTTATATTCATTGCCGCATGATGTGCATGCCCAGACATACTTGTAGTCGATGACGTAGGAATGCTTGGTAGTGACTTCGATATTGCGGTGCGCGAAGGCAAGAGTGCATTTGCGGGCCCTGTTTGATTAGTGGAACAGCCTCTTGGCTCGCTTGATGCTCACTTACCAGGCTTTGAACTCTTTGCCATGAGGGTTGTCGCGGATACCGCTGATCATGAAGCAGGCGAGATGACAATATTCATGTGCAATCACATTTATTAAACGTTCTAATGGTGTCAATATGGCAGTGAACATGTTTATGGTGGAGATCAAAAGTAGACTGACCTTCGCAATCAATTACTTTTTCCGCCAATTCAATTCTAGCTTCATGCCGAAATTTGATCTCTTCTTTCTCTTCTCTGATGATAGGGTCTTTTCGTCGGCCTTCCCTCTTCCAATGTGCTCTGCCAGCTGTCGAGTTTAGTTTCCTATTCCACTCCAACCTGACTCCAGATCCATCATTCGCCATCTGTCCAATCTTTCCATCGGTAATCTTGTCATCCAGCTCTTTCAGAAACTTGCTAGCTATACCGTGTTTCTCGGACTCAAACGTCTTTCGGTCTCCCGCGGCTCGCTTTTCGACATCTGTCTTCTTCGGACTTCTGATTCGATTCTTCTTAGGTGAAGACGTCGGTAGATTTAGATAACTTTCATCACCATCATCCGCCGATATCTCACGCAAGGTATCAAAGAAGCGAGACTTAGAGGGCGAATGGAGGATTTTACGCGGCGAATGCTGCTCGGTCCATTCATTGACCATCTCCTGGTCCCAGAACGAGTCGAGACTGGGCCTATGGGGAGGCGCTGACATATGGGCCTGTCTCTTGCTTGGAGAGGTTAGAGGATTCTTCGCAGGACTGCATAATGGTGGCGTGCATGGTCTTTGACATGGCGGGGTTGAAGGGCGATGAGATTTTTGTGTCTTCCGAGGAGAAGGTGCATGCGGCGGTGAGCTACGAATGAGTCAATATTTCCACCTGTTGAACTTTTGACGAGGGTTTTACAATTTTAGGAACGCGTCAATATTCACATCTGCAGCGGTTTCAGAGTGGATCTCGGAAGAGTCCAGACGTGGAGTACGTTTGGTTTTGTTCTGTCCCCTCGGAGGAGGCGAGGTATCTTCTAACGGGTGGCTCTGTTTCCGAATTGCAATGGAATGAGCTTCTTGGCAATTCCGCGACACTATTGGCTCTCTCTGCCGTACAATTTTCCTGACCGGTACCGGCGAACCGAAGACATCGTCACTGTTTTCGATGATTCCGGTTTTCCATTCATCATCTGAGTAAGTACTTGACTCATTGATAAAGTCTTCATCAGTTCCCTGGACGCTTGTGGGTGAGAGTTGCGGATCATTGTAGCTAATATTCTTCTTGGCCGATCGGCTGGGTGTCATTCTCGCAGCAGAAGGAAAGCAATTCCTTCGCGACTTCAGTTCTGTAGCTTTGACTTGTGGAACCTTGAGTGGCGCATGGTGAATGAGAGGTTGAGAAAGTCCCGATTGAGCTTTGCACTCTAAACGATCTATCCTCGTGACAAGATCTCTTAAATCGTTTTCACGCCCTGCTGGAAACGAGTCTCGATAGTAATCTCTCTGCATCAAACCCGAACATTCATCACCCTTTGAGGGCTTCCGATTTTTTGCTCTGCTGGCGCAAGTCTTCGTACGCGTAGGTGGTTGGGATTGTGGCCATGCCTTTTGAGCATGTTGATTGATAATGTCTTGTAGATCCGGTAGCTCCTCATCACTCTCTTCGTGCAGTCTTGCCATTGTCCTGTTAGCAATCTTTTGAGCTTAAAAAATAATTGAAGTAGTAGAAAGCGAGTTGCGTCCAAGCAGTGCCATATTCCACGTGGGGTGGTTGACCGTGGTGCTGCGCGAGTGGTTGCCATAGCAACGTCGGAGTACTGAGTGAAGCTCCGAAACGGAGTATGTAACCGACCACCACTCCCAACACTGGTATTTTACCTAAGGTCTTGTAAATGGTAATGTGGTAAAGGCATCATATGCAGAGCTCTACGAGCAAATCGGCAAGCAGCGTTGATGTCTTAGAATAACCAGAAGTACGGCAGTACCCCGTGTGCCTTTCGAACTCAATCGATCATATTGTCGAGGCTGCGGCTCCAACCGCCGAAACCTTCTTGCTTGTATTGAATACATCACGTCTTCATCAGCTAAATCAATTGATATAAGTTTCGCTGGAGTTGTCGGTATGACCGATGTCGCAGTCGTCAGACACAGTTAAGTAGTTCTCATGTCTGCTGCTTGTGACTGGACCGAAGACTGAGATCATGGAACGACTTCCCACGGTCAAATCCTCCAACCAAGACAGTGAACAGATGAGAGCGAGGGCAATAGATCGAGCTAAGGTAAAAGAAGGGGCGACGGGTTACCAGCTTCGTCCATCTTCCTCAGAAGTTGTTGTACCCAAGTTCGACCCCAACCCTTGGGGAGGCTATGCAACACCACGGAATGCTCCAAACTAATACCGAGCTGAGCCCAGCGATTCGGCTGAAGGTAGCTGTGTTCTTGCTTTTTGCTAGGATGGCATTGTGACCGGAGTCGGCCGAGGGGCTTTATTCTCCAGTTGCAAACGCTGTCACTACCGCCCGGTCATCCGTAATCGGCATTCATTGGTGTATTATTGCTGCGGGTGAAGCGCAAGGGTCTAACGTTAATGCTCAACGAGCAATGCCGATCAAAGTTCCGTTGTCGATCCGGACAAAAATGGACGCGATGTAGTGGATCGGTACCTATCCTTTACCGCGACCTCGGATCTGACTGATTGCTGCAAAGGGTTAAGAGCGAGTTGGCCACGGCGGTGACCTTAGGGCATGTATCATACACTACCAGGGTGCTGTGGCAGGGTAATTTAGCGGCTCCAGCCACGCATCATCACGGCTGTAGAAATGTCCAAATCTCCGGCTCGTAAGCAGCACTCAAATTGTCTGCGCTTACGGATGAAAATTACCCCGCAATCGAGGTGAGAGAGGGAGGAAGATCTAGGCAATAATGCAAGAGTGCGATGGAAATGAGCTGACGGATGGGATTTTCAAATGAGATGTGACTTGACAGATCTCTCTTGCCGGGATCTGGTCTTGAACGAGGATATTTTAAGATTGATTTTCGGAGTATCCGCGCCACGAATTTGTCTTCATTACAAACCGTTGCTTGTGAGCCTACTCCTTAGTTTGCATCGCAACGATAGCCTACCTTAGAGAACCCCGTACATACCTTCATGACGCGAGGCGTGTTCTCTACTCCGTACGTGGTCTGATTTGCAGTCTAGTTACAGCGGAAGCGTCCAAGTCTCCGAGATCCTCATGCACAATTCTGCTCCAATACCCCC